TAAATTGATTTAAAATAAGAAAAAATACCAAAACTCTTGGGAATGCTTATATATGCATGTATATGCTATTTTGAGGATATTTTGAGTACATAAAATACTTAGGGAAAAATTGGGTATCAACAGACCCAACATCTAATCATGGTCGTGATGGCGCCTATCGTGTTACAAGGCAAGCCTATTCCCAAAATATAACAACTAATTTGATTATAAGAATTTAATAAAATATTTCCAATAATTTAATTCCTGATAAATTAAACCAACTCTAAATATAAATAATATAAAATACGAAAACGAGTCCTAAACATCGGGGTGTCACTAAGTCATGAGCGTCTAAAACTATAAACTAAGATATATAAACTGTCTAACTGTCCAAAACAAGAAATGACAAGATGAGTAACAAGGTCCTGCGAACACTAGTAGCTACCTTGCAATCTCCACAGATAGCCGGCCTAAACCCAACGATCGTCGCGCTCTAACTCACGTGGATCTGCACATAAAGTGTAGGGTGTAGTATGAGTACAACCACCTCAGTAGTAACAGAAATAACTAAGGAACTGAGCAGTAGTGACGAGCTGAGCAAAATAGTCCAATTATTTATTTTTCACAATTTTAAAAATAACAGGAATAAACAGCTAAATTCCATAACTCAGTAAATGCCACAAAGAAATTTAACAGATAAATGCAGCAACAGCAAAAATAATTGCAACCTCACAACAATGTCACTCCATCACTCAGCACTCGCACTCAGCACTCAACACTCAACACTCTGTGCTCACTGGGGGTGTGTACAGACTCTGGAGGGGCTCCCATATCCCAAGCGCTAAGCAAGGACAACTCACATGCCACCATATCAATACCTGGATCCGCACGGTCAACTCACGTGCTACGCGGACAACTCACGCGCTATGGTATCAATACCTGGACCCGCACGGTCAACTCACGTGCTACGCGGACAACTCACGCGCTATGGTATTAATATCCTCACAACCAGGCCCTCGGCCTCACTCAGTCATGTACCTCACTAGCCTCACCATCATCAACAAATAAGGGAACACAACCCACCTCAAGTATCACAGCATATTAGCAAATAATAGAGACTGAGGTAAACATGTACAATAATTTCTATGACTGAGTACAAATAATGTGAGCATGAATAAAACCTAAACATGATCTCTAACATGAAGGCAAACAAGTTCAACAACAAGTAAACACATAACCACAGATAATAGCTTTTAGGCCTGGCCTCACGGGACGGACCAAGTCTCAATCCCTCGCGGTGTACACCCACACGCCCGTCACCTAGTGTGGGTATCACCACCAAACAATCACATGATATCAATTTCTCCGGGTTTATACCCTCAAAGCCGGAGTTAAAACTGTTACTTACCTCAACAACGTAAAATCCTACTCCGGGATGTCCTCGTCCCTAGACTCGGTCTCCAAAAGCTTCGAATATAACCAGAATCAGAATACTACTATCGACATAGTCTAAAGAATCGAATTACACAATAAAAACTACATAAACATGCCAAAAATCCGAAATCGGCCAAAACCCGGCCCCCGAGCCCACGTCTCAAAATCAGTCAAAAATTGGCAGAATAATAATCCTCGTCCTCTCCCGAGTCTAACCATATAAAATTTGTCAAAATCGGACACCGTTTGGTCCCTCAAATCCTGAGTTAAAACTCTCCAAAACTCAAAGCCTACCTCCCTCAATTTCACTTTGAAATCATCAATTAAATCCAAAAAATGAAGATGGATTCATAAATTATAATCAAAATCGAGTAGAGAACACTTACCCCAATCCATATGATGAAATTCGCCTCCAAAATCGCCCAAATCCGAGCTCCCCAACTCAAAATATGACCGAATGAACAAATCCTAGTTTTGTATATTTTTCTACCAGCTATTCTGCCTTGTTTCTTGAGCCAAACGATCCCGAAACTCATATTTTATGCCTCCAATGGATTCCTTGTGAAATTCTAGTCAAGTTAGGCTTTTGAATCACTCAATTTGACCTTATAATGAAGGAGATATGTAGGTTTTAATATTTGCAAATAGTGCAGATTTTTAAATACGCTGCTAGTGGCAAATTCGTAATTACTCTGAAAAATCTGGCAACCTAATTTTTAGTAAAATGACCATAAAATCCTCATACGATGTCCAAATTCGACGATTCTTTTTGCTACAGATCCGTAATTACGATACAGATCTAATGCTTCAATCAAAAATGAAATCGGAGCTCATTTGTTCAATATGATATCATTTATGCTTGAAGAAACGACGTCGAAACATAAGAAAAACGAGCGCAACACAACCCAAACCTATCCGAAACACACCCGAGGCCCTCGGGACCTCAACCAATATTTCCAACAAGTCATGTATCACTACCCGAACTTAGTCGAACCTCCGGAACACCCAAAACAACACCAAAACACCAAATCAACCTCGAATTCAAGCCTACGACTTTTAAACTTCCAACTTTTGCCAATTCAAGCCTAATTCTACCACGGACCTCCAAATTATATTCCGGACACACTCCTAATTCTAAAATCACCCAAGGAAGCTAATCGAATCATGAAAATCCAAATCCGAATTCGTTTACTCATAAGTCAACTTCCGGTTGACCTTTCTGACTTAGCTTTCTAATTAAGAGACTAAGTGTTCATTTCACTCCAAAACTACTCCGAACCCAAACCTACCAACTCGATACAACTGAACACAGCTGAACAACATATAAATAAGCATAGATGGGGGAAATGTGGCTATAACTCTCAGAACGAAGGACCGGGTCGTTACAACTACTTTTAAAAGCTGCGCGGGTCAAAAATTACGTGCTTACATATGGACTTGTAATTAAGTTAAAACTTCAATAGTGAAGGTAAATAAGTTTCAAAATTAGTATGGATAACTAAAAAAACTCTGAAATTAAAAGTTACTGATTTAATAATATACGGATTGTAATTTATGTTTTTAAAAGAGTTGTGCACTTAATACAGTAGTACCCTGATTGTTTTTTAAGTAGAATCGTTTGTCTTTCCTGCTTAGCATTAGATATAAATTAGTAATACATGGTAGTTTACCAGATAGCTAACCAAATTATCCAACAATCAAATAGTCTTAGTAATGATAAGTAGTATGTCTTTGTTGATAAAAATAACACCATTTGGAAATTTAGATCTTGTAAACTTGAATCTTATTCCCAAGAGATCATAAAGTTTTTCCTCCAAAAAGATTTCAACTTTAATATTTACTGTGTTGGAATAAAGCCTTACTTTTTCTTTTTACCTTTTTACATGTGGGGTGGACGAAAGAAAGGGAAAGGGAAAGGTAGAAAATTACATTGCAAAAGTATGATATTATAAAAGCATATAGAAGATTACTACTAACTACACAATTTAAAGTTAAGGCATTCAGAATTCTGCTCCTCAAGTGTATCAGGATAATTAATGTTAAAGTTGTTCCTTGTACAAAAATCCTCTTATTGGCTCCACTAACATTAGATTCTGAATGCATTAAGTGACAGGTCTGTCAACCAAATCACAGCAAACTACAAAATTCACTTTATCATATCCTAATATCAACACATCGACACCACAAACATACGAGGGTTCAGACAAGAATCGGGGCATTTAGAATTTTTACAAAAAATAAAACATGAAAAGAGCAATTGATGCACAGCTTCCGGTAACTAATGGTCTGACAGTAATAGGACATTAACAATTTATTAACGTATTGATGCAGAGGATGAATTTTCAACTAGCTAACAGATGTCACATGTGCCTTTGCAATTCTGAAACAATCAATCACTTGTTTCTTCACGACCCACTTGCAACAGACATTTGGAACATGTTTCTAACACTTTTTGGACTGGCATGGTCTATGCGATCCAGGGTCCGGGAGGCCTTTGCGAGCTGGAATTCCTGGAAAGTTGAGAAGTCCATCATAAGGTTATGGTCTATGGTTCCTACTTGTATCTCGTGGTGCATATGGTCACAAGGGAATCAAAAATGCTTTGATGCCATTCAACTGCCAACTATACACTCATGGGCCAAGGTCAAATGTTTGGTTAATCTTTTTAGCTGGGTTAATCTTACCCATGTATATAACCCTAACTCTTTTTTGGAATTTATCAGCTCTTTAGTCTTATAATAGATTTATTTTTCTATATTCATGGGCTGATATTTTCTTTTCTTTTGTAACCTATGCATCTTCTTGATGTTTACTGTTAATGATATTCCCCTTACTTCAAAAGAAAGGGGAGCCCGCTGCACTAAGCTCCCAATATACGCGGGGTCCGGGAAAGGGTCGAACCACAAGGGTCTATTGTACGCAACTTTACCATGCATTTCTGCAAGAATTTGTTTTCACAGCTCGAACCCGTGACCTCCTGATCATATGAGCAACTTTATCGCCAAGGCTCCCCTTCAATGATATTCCACTCACTTCATTTAAAAAAAATTATTAATGCATTTGCAACTGAATCATATCACCTTTTTGTTCTATCTGAGAGGTTCTCGAAATAAACAGCAATAAATGAGTATACTCACAACACTATCCTTTTTATTTCCTTCACTCTTTTCCTTAATTTTCACTATTTCAAAAGCTATTCTTTCCCGTTTAGTGCGTTGATTGGGAAGATCATTTGCAAATAAATAAAGAAAAGCATTTTGCCCTCCTGAGTCTTGAGTATTGATTGCACGTACGCTTCCACTTACTCTTTTCAGGTATCATGGGATCCTTTACCTCTAACTCTGACCTTCTCCCTTCCACAACTATGAGAGAGAAGTCATAACTTGTCCACAATATAATGCTTAAGTCTGTCAAGATATATATAACTGCATCTCTCTGTCAATGTTCAGAGTTGTTTAGTCCTTGGGATATCGACCTAATTGGCACGGTAACTTTACATTTTTCCTTCTGTAAGTTTATTTTTACTGTTTGTTTAGATACACAAAGGCGTTGGAGGTTATTAAAAAGCTTCACAAGGATCAAGCTCAAGAAATAAAGACATATAAGTTGAAACTGGAAAATCTTCAGAGCTGCTTACAGACCTCTATTGAAATATATATGTGTTTTTTCCCTCTCTTCTCCTTTTTATTCACTCAGGCACTTGTCCAAACTTCTACAAGCTATCACTTAATAATTTAGCAAAACGAATATAAATTCACCCCATTTTGTCATAATTTCAAGAGAAATTTCCTATTCTAGAAACCAAGAGGAATTCATTGTGAGCATGTTTGATAAGTTATCGAGATCAGTCCCCACTTCTGGAAATGCCATTTGGCAGATCTTTTGTTAATAAGCACCTGCACCACCATCTTCATATATTGATACTGCCGTCCACTCCATAAAAAGATTTCCAATGAACAGAAATACTTCTGCTTGTTATATATGTCAAAACTTTGCTTCTGTCTTTCAGCTCCCTGCTCCCCCTCTTACTCTGCTGTGAACAGATAGATTCTTCTCCTTATTAACCGTTGTTCCTGTATGTGAAAACTTTTGAGCTATGCAACTAGAAACAAGAAGGATTGTAGAGAGCCAGCGTAAAAGCTTTTGACTCAAGTTTTCTTTAATGCTTAATCTTGGTTTTGAGATTTGTTGTTGCTTCTAAATGTACATACACACTTATATTTTCCAGATATTAATACCATGTTGTTTTGATCATAGTTATTCTCTAACCACAGAGCAATGTGAACCTGTAATTCTGATATCAATACGGTTTTTGACTTTAGTTGAAGACTGCACTAGTTAAACGAATGCTACATTTTAAAACGATAGTAATTTGATCTTGTCTTTTAATCTAGCTGCATTGCCCAAGATAAAGAGAAAACCGAGTCACTGAAAAGTCAGATGGAGGAGCTTGAAAAAGAGATTCGGACTCTAGAGAGTAAGACCCACCATACTGAAGCAACTTTAAAGGACCTTCATCAATTGCAGCGAGAGATAGCCACCAAAACTGCTGAAAGGAAAACATTGTTCAAGGAACAGGAAAAACAGTATGCAGCACTTGCAGAGGAGAATGAAGGTTTACTAAAAGGAATATATATATTTATTCTTTCGGCACAAAGTGATGCACATAACATATTAGACATCAAGCTGAACATAATTCATGTTGTTTATATCCTAAAGTAAATTCTTATTTGGTGTATGTGTGCATGTTTATCCACTGAAGTACTTTTTGTAAAAATTGATATCTTCAAATATTTTCACTTTTGAATTACTAGACACTGATGAAGAGCTGAGTGAATGGAAAACAAAGTTTGATGAAAGGATAGCGCTTCTGGAATCGAAAATTAGCAAGTTGGAGAGGGAAATGAATGACTCAGAGACAAAGAGTTCCCTTCTTAAGCAGTCCATGACAGACTATATCGTGGAGATCAGCAAGCTTCAAGCTGAGGCTGAAGTAATTTCCTCGGCCTATGTGCTGGTTGATTTCTTAAAGTTCTCGCATCTTGCTTTCACTTTCTTTTTGATTTTTGTGCCTTAGGCTCTTGCGGTGTTAAAGAATGAAAGAGACGTCACTATCAGGAAGCTTTTTGGCAGACATAACTTAGGTGCTGTTCCAAGTGGGCCGCTCAGTGATGATGTCGCATTGAATTTAATGAATCATATAAACCTACGATTAGCACATCTTGATAAGGATTTACAAGATAAAAAGGTGGTTCTTTCACTGTACCAGCCTATATACATATATTTAGACATGCCATGTTGTTTTAACTTGTCAGTTAAAGATTTATTTTACTTTGATTCAGCTATGTTGCGAGGCTTGAATCCCCTTCTCTTTTTGTTTCATTTCTGTTATTCATGTTTCCCAATGGTCAGTCAGGCTAGGAGCTTCTCCTACAGATAGAAAGGTGTTCGAAAACACCAGCAATTTCCTCTTCAGTCATCTAGTTCTGTTTTTTTTCTATTATAACTGTCTGTCCTTAGAAACCTTGGACTTTCTAGGAGGGGATTTTCTTTCTTTTGTGTTTTCTCTAATGTTTGGGATCCCTGGGGGGTCAGCCACTCAGCCTAGCGCTTACCCCTCCCATAGTCTTGGGATTTCAATTTTGTGATTAATTAAGCTTATATTTGATTTTCTTAATTATGGTAGCACTTATTTCTTCATTCAAGTGACCCTGGATTCAGTGTCTTTATTAAAATTTCACTGTTCGCATATAGCTTTTTTTAACAGGATATTATGATTAACACGAAATGGTTTCTGATATGCTTAAGGCATCCCTTTGCTGGCCTAATAATATAACAACTCCACCACATAACCCCAGGAAGTTGCCTCCAGCACTTAAATTACAGCAAAAGGCAAGAGCAAACTGTTAACATGCTTATCGGTTTAATACTTGCTTAGAGAAAAGAAAAATAACCACCTACTAGAGAGTTTGACAAGTAAAAATAAAAGGAATAGGGACCATTCTAATTTGACAGGACGTACATACTAAAAGAGTTATTCTGTGTTGAAATGAACCATCATTAGCAACTGAAACAAAGAATACAATGCTTACAAATCTCCTTTGCACCTTGTTTTCTAAAAAATAGAATATGAATCTTGTTAAAGTGGAATTTTGCATGAAACTAAGGAAAAAATTTACAAGCTTGTGGGTACATGTGGCAAACCAAATGATACAGAAATTTAGCAACCAAAGTTAAGTCATGAAAACAAACTGCAAGTGCGAAAGTTAGAGGCATACCTGTGATACAACTATTTTAAAACCCTTGGATATCATTCTTTCTCGATAAACTATACATTGTTCTTGATGATCAACATCGTGTCCTAAAGGGGTCACCAAGAATCCAATCTCAGTTCATTATCATAATCATACTGACCTTTGCACATTGTTTCTTTATTGATCAACATGACATCCAAAAGCAATCACCAAATACGCAAGTCATTTCGTTGATGATCATTGCAAGCTGCAGTCGGACAGCTAAAAAAGATACAACAACAACTGTGCTCAAAGTCAAACTAGTTCGGGTTGGCTTCTAACTTTACTCTGGCCGTCAACCTACTGCAATCCATTGATGATCACTGTATATTGCAGTTCAGACATCTCAAAACAATACAACAACAACAACTACTACGCTCAATCTCAAACTGGCTCAAGTTGGCTTCTAGCTTTACTATAAGCGTCAAGCTATTGCAAGCCTCTCCTCTATTCGGACATGAAACCAGCAATGTGAGCTCACACAGGATGCAAAGCTCACAGCTCTAGACGATCACAAATTTAAAACAGCACCAGAAAACTGAGAACTTTGCCACACCTCGATACCCTCAACATCTTCTCTAGTAACAAACAGCCTATCACCAGCTCCCTCAATCTTCTTTATGATCCCTCTTTCAGCATCCTCCACTTTATCCATATAATTCCTCCTATACAACCCTCCATGCAACACCCTTTCCCTCTCAACATCACTTTCTTTCTCCACCATTCTTGACCAAACCTCCAATTCTCCCCCTCTTCCGACAAACACCTGCTTTCTATAACAGTGAAGTAAAATATTGCTTCCACCACTTGCAACATGCCTCATACATGGATTTTTCTCTTCCAAATATACCCATGGATCTTCATTCAATTTACGAAGATCTGCCACTGCCAAATCACCAGACTTTGAACATATCTTGAACATGGTCAATTCGTCCTGGTCAAAGTCAATGTCAGCAAATGAGTCACCAAACCGGCTGCTCCGACCCGACCCGGGTTCATTCGTCTCCCACACAACGTCCCCTGACCTGGGATCCCACAACCGCACGTAACCCGAATACCCAAAAGCTCCGGCGGTTACTGAAACGCCAACTAATGCATTAATCTCCGGCAAAAAAGTCAACTTTCCGACGACCGTTGACTTCGCCGAATTTCCAGATTGCCTTCCCAACTCTGAAACCGGTTTCATCGTACACTTGTCGATACTCAAAACACAATTCTCTCTATGCTGACACTCGAAGGCCGCAAAGACAGAGTCCGGCGAGTCAACAACGGCGTTGACTTTTGCCTTGTAGATTCTCGGGTCAGACGGGTCGGTCCATTCTACAGACCCAACTCTACGCCCATTAGCCAAGTTATAAAAATGGAGCCCCGACTCGAATTCAGACCCAACAACCGCCAAATCGGGTCCAACCTTCCGAATCGAGCTGATGTAATCAAGATGGGTCCGAATAGTTTCGGTATGGGTCAAACTCCAATCGTAAACCGAAACCTGCCCCCCATGAGCTACCCAAACGGAGCCGTCAGAATCAACGGCGTTAAAGTCCGTTACAACGCCGTCAGACGAGGGGCGGATGGTCGAAAAGAGTGACGCGTCAATTCCGCTGAGTTGACTCGGAGCGAGTGCGGATCTGAGCTGTGATTCAATTCCGTAGTAAACAGCTTCGTCGATGAGCTCTTGATTGGAGAATCGTTTTGCGGTCGAAGGGAGACGATTAGACCGGAGAAGAGCTAAGAGAGCCGAGAAGATTTCTGGGTCCCGGTCGATGAAAACCGGTTCGTCGGAATTCCGGTTTGATAAGGCGGATAAGAGAGAATCGGGTCCACCGGAGCGAAGTGTGGATACTGTTGTTTCAAACAGCTTGCCTCCGACGTTGAGCTTCACACGGTCGCTGACTTGGCTTTGAATTGTTGTACGCCGTGCTCCGTTGATTGTACCGTCCTCCATCGATCGGAAATTAGATATCGGATGGATCCAGTTGACCGAACGGGGAAAGGCTTTGTAAATTGTGCAGTTTTATCTTTTGATTATTTTGGACGAAAAAAATAAATAAATGAAGGTTATTGTTGATTTTAATTTTGTTTTATTAGGTGGACCCCGAAGTTTCTTCGAGGAGTATGAGAAATTTAAATAAATAAATAATTGTTCTTCGTGTTTTTAGTTGATGGATTACAAATATTCATGCAAATGCTCAAATTCCTTGTTGTGACGATTTTTATAATTTGTGCAGACATTTTTGAGTCATACCTCATATCCAGTTCGTTTTTAAAAGCAAAATATTTGATTTTTTTGCTCAATTATTTTATTTCATTCTCTACTTTTTTTTTTCTTTTTTTTTTTCTTTTGAGTTTTAACACAATTTGTTTGTTTTCTGAAATAAGGGGAAACGGATTTAATTTGTGTACTATTTGAAATTGAACAATTTTACAAGAATTACAAGAAAATACACTTGACATCACATCGTAACAAAAAATAGCCTATGTTTTTAAGTTTATCTGACCTAACCTATATTGTACATATTTTGAAAGCACTAGCAAATTCAAAATATATGGAGTTAAATTTGTGTTCTCACAACCATCGCATTCACTTTCTTTCTTCTCACATCTTCTACGGTCCCGTTTGGCCATAAGTTTTGCCAAAATAGATTTGAAATTTATTTTCAAAACTCATGTTTGGCCAAAAATTTTGCCCATATTTTGGCCAAATTCCAAATCTCAAATCTCAAAATCAGCTATGCCAAAATCCCAAAACTTGGGAATTATATACATATTTTTCCAAAACAAAGTTGGAAAATATGTTTTGAAAACGTATGTCCAAACACATTTTCATCTTCAAATCAAACTTCACCCAAATCAGATTTTTCAAAATAAATTTGGGATTTATGGCCAAACACTAGCTACATATATTTCAAGGGGCCATCCACCACTACTGCTTCTCCCCTTGTGTCACCTTTGTATTTTGGGTCTACACTTGCACTTGGCTATTAGAAGAAGTCTTCTTTGCCCTTAACTTGTGACGAAACTTCAACGTGAATATCATATTTAAAACTCAAAAAGTAGATGGGTAATCTGTACTTTCTTAAAAGCATCTTAATACGTTTAATAACAATGGTAGCACGAGATAATTAGCTAATGACAATGGTATAAATTTAACAAAAAAAAAAAAAAAGACAATGGTATAAATTTAACAAAACAAAAAAAAAGACAATGGTATAAATGAACTAGAATATAATGGAGAATATATTGAAAAACTTCGGATGGTAAAGAAGCAAATATGAATTTTCTTTTTTGAAGTAAACTAGAACAAGTTATATGTTAGTATCATCGTATCATCATTCGGTACTACAGTGGGAAGCACCAAATGTCAAACTTGAATTACTAAAATACCCATTAAAAACTGTAGTACATTTTTACAGTTTAATAAAATATTGTTCCTATAATATTTTTGTACAAAAAAGTAAATATTTAATAAATACATGTAAATGCATTTTGATAAATTACAAGTATAAGCCAAATAATCTGAAACTAGGAGCAAATGAAGAGATTACTATTACAATTGATCTCATCATTATGTTGAATAGCAGCTCCTTGTACTCTTAGGAAAATGAAGTGCTTGCTCTTTTAATACAGATTTCTTTTGCGTTATAATTCCTAATTTCTTTTTAGGGATGTCAATGTCAACCCATTCCTCATGATACATATCAATTGCTAAGCGATAGTCAAGAAGCTCATTGTCAACCAATTTTTTCCGATATCAACAAGTTCAGATTGCAAGTTTTGTTCAACGAAAAAAAGAAGGAAATTGATCATCTTAATTCTCATGTCAAATCCATGAAAGGTAATATTTCATCTTAATTCTCATGTTAAATTCATGGAAGGTAACTGATTATCTTAATATATATATATATATATATATATATATATATATATATATATAAGCACGAATAATTTATGCTAAATGTTGAACGACTAAAATATCCCTAAAATATTGATTGACTTTTATGCCCTTAAGTATTTGTATAATTTAAGATGGAATTCTTTTCCAATTTAAACTACACCTACACTGATCCTACAAAGTTGATCCTGCTTGGATTAGAAAAGCACGTCCATAATTTAAATTTTTTTTTTTTTTTATTGTTCCTAATTACAACAATACGTAATTTTGTGGGAGAATTGGAGATTCCTACTTGGAGTGCTTTCTTTCTTTCTTATTTACATTAGGAATTTTATGAACTTTCTTTTTACCTTTTTATTGTGTAAGGAACCTCATATAATTTTCATTCATTCTTGGAAAGTGATTTGTTTTTATTTATGTGTTAGGAATTTTTTTATAAATACTACTAATATTTTTCCTTCGAATAAAATATCATGATTCCTTCTTGAATAGGTATTTTCCCCTTTCAAGATAGGATATTTGGAAAGTTCTTCGATATCTTTTACTTATTTTGTTAGGAACTTACGGAATGTAAAATTCACGTGCTTTTTAACTAGACATAATCGGAATTTGAGTTGAATTTAGAGATGGGATTGATCAGGATTAAAGTTAAAGTATTTTTTGGCGGTAATAATATAATTTTCTTTTAAATATTTGTATAGTTACGAATTCATATTTTATTAAATATGACTTTTGTAATAATTGATATAGGATAACGTGCAACATAAAAAAATATGCCAACAGAAGGTATGAATGACTAAATGCCCTTTCTATTTATGGTTATTTGTTACTAATGTATCTTGAGTAAATATCATTTTCATGTATCTGAATCGTTAAGGCTTAATTAAATCAAAGAAAATTATTGAATCACAAAAATAATATTAAGTATAGTTGTATTCTTTAAGTGATATTATAACTTTAATTGCATAATTATATATTTTCATAATGTTTATTTCTATTTTGTTCTTTCATTGTTCCAAAACATTATTAATTTATTCATTTGGATTGTATATTATATCTTTTTTGTTCTAAGGATACAAATTATTAAACTTTGTATATATTGAATTTCGTACATATTCAATTGCAATTAGTTTTAGAATATTATGCAATTGAATGTTTTTTTTTTGTATCCATTTCATAATATTTGACATAAGATATTCGTGCATCGCACGAACGTAGAGACTAGTATATGAAAAGCACGAAGACCGTTAGCAAAATGTCGTTAGCCTTTTTTACCCTCAAAAAAATTAATTTCACACTAGACAAAATAGTTATTGAACTATTTTCCTAAATTTTTGGACTTTGAAATCAACTAAAATTTAATTATTAAAATCTTTCCTTATTAGAATAATGTAGTGAATTCCTAATATTTATACTTTAAAATCAATTAAAATTTACAAAAATCCTTTCCAGCTCTGTAACAATAACTATATTAGACGTAAGGAAAAACAAAAAAATAGAAGATCTAAATAAAATGGAATATAGAAACTTTTAACCATTCTAATCAGAAAAATAAATTTAAAAAAAAAACACGAAGCACGTACATAGTACACTTCATTCTACTATATCACTATGATATCTTTATCCTTTTATTTAACTAAAATATTCCTCATCATATACAATTAGAATTCCTTTTGCCTAAGACTAGAGGCTGTAACGACCCGACTGGTCGTTTTGAGCAATTGCGTCCGGTTCGGCAGTCTGAGGTCACGAGTAGCTTTATATTATGTATATTGACTCGCGTGCATGGTTGGAATCGGAGTCGAATCGGAAGAAGGAATCTAGTTTCTGGAAGCTTAAAAGGTGAGAGTTCGACCGGAATTTGACTTTTGAGTAAACGGCTCCGGAATGAGTTTTCGATGATCTCAGTAGCTTCGTATGATGATATTGGACTTAGGCGTGCGTTCGGATTTGGATTTGGAGGCCCGTAGGGTAATTTTGAAGCATTTCGGCGAAAGTTGGAATAGTTGAAGTTTGGAAAATGGAGAGGTTTGACCCATAGTTGACTTTTATATTATCGAGTCCGGAATGCGATTCCGAAAGTTGGAACAGCTCCGTTATGTCATTTTGGACTTGCCTGCAAAATTTGGTGTCGTTTGGAGTTGATTTGATATGGTTCGGACGCTTGGTTGCAATTCTAGAAGTTTTTGAAGTTCATGCGTTTGGCATTCGATTCGTGGTTCTATAAGTTATTTTGATGTTCCGATCGCACAAGCGAGTTTCTGATGTATTCAGACTTGTGTTGGTGTTTGGTTTGGAGCCCCGAGGGCTCCGATGAGTTTTGGAAACGTTTTGGAGTGTTTGGAAGAAAACTTTTGGTTTCTGCTGTCTGTTCTCGCATTTGCGAGGATCTCATCGCAATTGCGATGACCGCAATTGCGAGACTCTTCTCGCATTTGTGACGCTGGGTTGGTGGCAGGGGAGTTCGCAATTGCGAACAAATTCAACGCATTTGCAATCAACAGCTCCGCATTTGCGATAAAGCCGTCGCTTTTGCGAACATCTCAGAGCTCGCATTTGCGAGACTTGGGTCGCATTTGCGACCTGATCAGAGCTGGCCAGCCTTTGCATTTGCGATACTTATGTCGCATTTGCGAGATCGCATTTTCCATCCTGATGTCGCAAATGCGACATCCGAGGCTGGTATTAAGGTTCCCATTTCGGGACTTAGCTTCATTTTTCCATATTTTGAACCCTAGGTCCGAGATTAGACGATTTTGAGAGAAGATTTTCACACCAAATCATTGGGTAAGTGTCTCTAATCAATTTCCAATCATATTTTGTGATTATATCTTAGATTTAACATCAAATTCATGAGAATCTAAAGGAAAATTTGGGGAAAATTGTGAAACCTTTCAAAAATATAAAATGATGATTTGAATGAACAAATGGTATCGGAATTTGATAATTTTTGCATGGGTGAACTCATAGCGGATTGGGTGTTCGGTTTTTGTAAATTTTGTCGGGTTCCGAGATGCGGGCCCGGGGAGTTGACTTTTGTTGACTTTTTGCAAATTGTATAAGAATCATAATTTTGTTCATTGGAATTGTTTTCTCTAGCATTGTTTGATGTATTCAAATCGTTTTTGGCTAGATTGAGCCGAGCGTTGATGAATTGGTAAATGAAAAG